TTGGAGGGGGGCCTTGGCCTCTATGGACAGCAAGGCGGGGTCAGGCAGGCATTTGACACTCAGTTCTAGGTGCTGCTTTTACAACCAGCAAATGAACAGAAAAGTCCTGGGCCTCTGGCTTCCCTTGTCCAAGTGTGGTGTGCAGGGCCCGGTGTTCTAGAGCTCCTCCCCTTTCTGGCCGGCTGCTCAGTGGGAGGACAAGGTGGCCTCGAATGCTATAATGCCCCCGCTTCCCTGATGCCCTTCTTCCCTAGAGAGAATGAAGCCTGGAGTTAGGCGGCCTCTGTAGAGCCTTACAAGTTCTGAGGCCCGGGCAGGGTGCTCAGTTCCTCTGAGCCCATCTTTCTTAAGGAAAAGATGCACAATGACAGCTTCATAATGGGGACAATGATAAGCACATCAGAGCATTTTCTATGTGGGCTGAAATTCTGACCTGCCTGAGTCTTCTTCTCTTGGTCCTCCCAAGCACTGTCTGGCTTAGGCGAAGTTATTTTCTTGATTTTCTGTGGGGAAGTTGCCCGTACAGGCAGTGTTTGGCCCTCACCTGCCATTCTCATGTCATTATAAGGTTGTACAGAGGGTTGATTGGGAGGCCTGCACCTGGAAGAGCTGCTCTTCAGGTAAGTGTAGAGACAGACAGATGGACGGACAGACAGACAGACAGACAGACAGACCAATGCTGGGCATGTGTATGTGTGATACTGTGTACAAATTGTTCTGTGTATGTGTTTACAATCTGGAGTGGTTTCCTTTGGCTTCAAGTTCTCAGGACATATTTCTGTTGTTTCTTTCCATCTCGTCCTTGCTGAGTTCCACTGTTCCACTGAACTTCTGTTTAGAAACAGTCTGCTCTTTGTTTTTCTCTCTCACTAACTTCAGGGCAATTTTCCTCAGCCAGGGGTGAGTCACGCCCGCAGGGGACACTTAGAAACGCTTGGCGATGTTTCTGATCTTTACATCTTAGTACTGCAGGGACACCGCTGCCCTCCAGTGAGGAGAAGCTGGAGACCCTGCTAAATGCTCTACAAAGCCAGGACCTTACTCTCCCCATAACAAAGAATAACTTGTCCCCAGGTGTCACACTATTGAGTTTGAGGAACCTGCTCAAGGGATGGGATTTATTTCTCTCCCCAAGTATACGGCCCAGTATCCCCCTGGACTCTGCATTTCTGGAAAGCTGGATAGCGAAGCAGTGCAGAGCAGCAGCGTAGGGGACCTGAGGGGCTTTGGCTCATTGCCTGGACGGAAGCCAGGCTCCTCACCCTTGAAGGCCAGGGGGTCACAGTGCATGGCAACCATCACTGGCTCTGGGCAGGACTGGCCAGGGTTCAGCTATCCTGTAGGGACATGGTGGCTGGGGGGGTAGAGACCCGCTGTATTGAGTGCAAGAGAGGGGCGCTTTGCCTCAGTGTGGCTGTTCCTGGCAGCATTCCTGTGGATACAGCAGCCCTCGACTAAAATGGAGAAGTACTTGCATAGATTCTACATGCACCCTTCTGGCCTCAGGGAGCACTGGCTGGTGCTCAGCCACCCCGAATTTTCAATCCCCTCTAGATTACTGATGATACCAACTCATGCATGTGCTGTGTAAATGGGTGCTACACATATTGTTTTGAGAAGGCCGGCAAGGGAAAAGGCTACATTTTGAAGCAATGTTGTCAACCAAAGAACTACATTTTTAAACAACGTTGCTGACTACAGTGGGTTAACTCTACCTCTCAGAGCTCTCAGATGTGGAGCGCTGACTGTCCACCAATGCCTGGCATCTCTCCGCGGTTACTCTGTGCCTCCCTCTGGGCCTTCCTGGGTACATGTGCCAAGTCCTCATCAGAATGCAGCAGCAGATGTTCTTAGTATTCCCATCTCTGTCCTTAGACGTAGAACCTACATCCGGGGAGCTTAGGGCCCTCCCTAAAATGATGCTGCAAGCCTGCAAAGTCTTACAGGGAGGCCCTGACCCCTGATGTTACTGTATTTGTAGGGAGGGCCAGGAAGGGATCAATCAACATGAAGTGAGGTTGTAAGGGTGGGGCCCTGACTAATGGGACTAGTGTCCAGATTTTTAACTTACTATTTTTGTATTTCCTACTGTCCCTTCTACCATGTAAGATGTGCTATACTTTTATTACTTATACATACAAAGAAAAGGTAGCATATAAAATAAACATTCATTGCATATGTGTTTTAGCAAGATGAGGTTTCCCTTGGGGCTCAAACCCAGGGCCTCATGCATGCCAGGCAAACGCGCTACCGCTGGGCTAGATCCCCAGCTCCGGGAAAGGAAATTAAAATTGTAACTGTCAGGAAGCCTGGCATGGAATGGGCACTGCTAGTTGTAAGGATTTAGCACAGGGCTTGGCAGGAGTCAGGCGAGGCTGTGCTCGTCACTACTAGTTGTATTTCCCTCCCTTAGTAATGCTGTAATCTCTCCGGCTCTGCGTTCTGATCTGTGAATAGTTTCCACTCTCCGGGCTGCCCTGGACGTTTTCTCTTTGGCTTCACTGTGCGATGCCCTTGCCTCTCTGCTCTGGTTACAGATTAACAATGCAGAAAGAGCTTTGCTGAGAGCTCTTTGCCAGCAGGCAGCAAAATGACTGTCGCGTGGAGTGGGAGGATCGGTGGCAGAATTAGTCACCAAGTAAACAGGAAACACCTTCGATCCCTGCTGTGGAATGCTGGTGGACCATGGGCCCTCTGCCCCATCCAGGAAGGTGAGGCCACCACGGCCAGCCGGCACACCCCACAGAACCAGCCCCCAGGTCGAGGTCGGCAGGCGGAGGAGTGATGAGAGCGGACCCCCTGCGTCGTGCAGCCGTCTCCCCGTGCCCCATCTCAGCACCGGGAGCCCAGCTGCCCTCAGCAGGTGCCCAGGACAGCAGAGCAGGCTGCTTCCTACACAGGGGACTGAGTCCGGCCCTGAGGGGACAGAGGGGATGCCCTGAGGCCAGTGGCAGGGCAGCTGCCACAATCTGTACAGGTGTTTTAGGAATGCTTGGCAACGGATGTTTGCTGCCAGAACACTTGACTGTGATGGCATTAATGGTGAGACATCCTAGAGAAGACAGAACTTGTTATGCTTTTCTGTCTTTACACTGGTAAGCAAAGCAGGGAGCGTATCAGCGGATTCCCCGTGCACAGGGCCCACAGTGCAAGGAGGCCTCGTGCTCAGGGTGGCGAGGGTGTGAGAGCCTGAGGCGGTCCCTAGAGCCTGCTCCCTTCCTTTGGACCTGGCACAGGCCCCAGCTCTCTACCACATTCATTGCCTCTTTTCCCCTTTGGAGATGTCACCTCATTCCACAGATGGAGAGACTGAGGCAGTCACCTGGCCCCTGCCCAGCAGAGCTCCAGGAGGTGGCAGCCCCTGGCCTTGCCTCTGCAGGAGGAGTCCTGGCTTCCCACCCATCTGCACACGGATAAACAGGCATAATGTTCAGAAAGCTGTGGAGCAGCGGAGCTGGGGTTTGAACCCACATTCTTGGACCTCAGGCACAAACACAGCACTCTGGGTGGGCCGGTGGGGTGGAGGCAGAGGTTCATGAGTTGGAGCCCAGCCCGGACAATGATAGCTTAGCGAGACCCAGTCTCAAAATTGAAGAGGACTAGGAATGTAGCTCAACGTGGTGGCCCTGGGTTCAACCCCTAGTATCACAGCCAACCAAACCACACAACCAAATCAAACAAATACATGAACATGCAAAGAGCAGCCGAAGTGTTTCACAGCACAGTGCTCAGCGGAGCGGCAGGGGCTGTGACACCGCGGGGGTGAAGCCCGCGCGCTTGCAGGTCCACTGAGCGTCGTCACATAGGAGTCCCCCGCAGCCACCCCGTCCCTTCCCCCCGTCTCCCACCACTGTCCCAGCCCCAAGAGCTGGGCCTCACCCGAGCCACTGCTTTCCAAACCTTTTTCCTAAAAGGAACACGCTCCAAGAGTTATAGAGCTCCAGAGAAAAGAACCCCTGTGATTTGGGCTTCAGTTTAGCCCCTTCCCTGCAAGATGGAACAACTTTGCCAAGGCTTTTATTTAGGGAGAAAGCCAAGGCTCAAAGCCATCATAGTCATGGCAGGGCCCAGGCTGGGTGGGTGAGGTGACTCATCACTAATTGTAAAATAGAGACATCAGGAACAGCAAGGAGCAAAATGATAGCGGACGAAACCAAGGTGTCTGTGGGCATCATAGTCATTCTCTAAGTCCTCTGTGCCCATTTTGTAGAAGGGGAAACAGAGGCCCTGGAAGCTGCCCAGGGCTCCCAGCTAGCTGTGGTGGGGCTGGACCCAGTGTCTGTGGGTCTGGGCTTCAGCATCCCTGCCACCCTTTAATCTCACTGCTCTGCTAAGCAGGAGAGTGGCTGTGAGGGTGGTGGGAATATCCTGTGCCATGGTTCTGGATTTGAACCCAGCACCTGCCTCACAGGGTCATCTTGGATGTACTTCATGGAAAGACAACCAGGCCTGGTAGCACATGCCTGTTATCCCAGCACTCAGAAGGCTGAGGCAGGAGGATCATTGCGAGTTTGAGACCAGCCTGGACTACAAAGTGAGCTCAAGGACAGCTTAAAAGAAACAGATGCACAAAAGTAGTCGAGTCCTTTCCCCTCAGTGTAGACTCTGAGTCTGCTTGGCTGTGGGGGGGTCCTCACCCTGATGGGTAGGGTGAGGACCCCCCAGCTGCCCACTGTACCACTCCGCCTTCTGACTGCTCCCAATGCCTGACCCCCACAAGGGCTCTCAGTTTTCATGCAAATAGAAACCATTTATGTTGCTTGAAACCCAACCCTACCCATACTCACTGAATCCTTATAAAACTAAAATCTTTTAGAAGTGCTGCCTTTTAATTCATTTCACAGATGGTGAAACTGAGGATCACACAGACCCAAGGCGCACAGTGATAGGTGACAGAGCTCGGGTTGGACGCAGCCTTCTGAGCCCCAGTCACTGCATGCCACCACCTGCCACAAACAACAGACCCCGGAGCCAGGCTTTGAGGATCTGAGAGTGGTTACCTGTTGCACACCTCGTGGGAGTCTCTTTAGTCTCCTGCTGTCACCCGGAGCTGCCCAGGGTCCTGTGTGTCCAGCTGGCGCTGCCCGGTACCAGGTTATCCGCGAAGGCTGGCTCCTCTTCTTATGCTTCCTTGTCCGGAGCCTGCTGGCTGAATACACAGAACAGGGTAAACACAAAGCTGGGAGGAGACCCGCCCCTGCTGATCTTTCAGAAACAGGTTCTCTTCCCGCATTCGGGGTGCCTTTGCCTCGCCAATAAACGCGCAGCGCCTGCGTGGTCATGCATGAACGCCTCCTTGGCTTCCAGGCGTCCTGCCCCGCCCCTCACCCTCCAATCCTGCCCAGTCGTATCCCCCTCCACCTGCCCGCCAGCGGGGGTCACAGCCAGAGCAGGGAAACACGTTCCGGGAGAGTTTGCAGCTCCGCCTTCCTTTCACCCTCGTTCCTTCCAGAGTGCTATTTCCTGCACCCAAGCACCGCACTGGGAGGAGATGGCACCTCAGCCTCCGCACCCCCTCGTCGTGTAAGCCTGATTCCCACAGGCGCTGGACCCTGGGGAGCAGGTAACCTCAGGGGCTCATTGCTGATGGCAGAAGATGCCATCGGCAGGGACTTTTTTTGTTTGTTTGTATTTTAAGAAAGGGTCTATAGGATGTTCAGGGTCTCATGAGTAGATCGGACTCATAGTGATACTCCTGTTTACAGCCTCCCAAGAGCTGGGATTACAGGAGCGCGCCACCACACCCAGTCTCAATTGCCATCTCCTCACACCTTGGGGGCAGGGCCAGCACAGCGGGCCAGGGGATCGAACCCCTGTTCCCTGAGCCGGCTTGCAGGTGCTTT